CGGACATTTTTTTGTTAGTTTATTAGGCGGAATTTTCACAGAAAAATACTTTTTTGAATTGCAGTAAAGTCACTAAAATATAGAAAAGTTTACCCGCAATCCATTGGGCTCGTGTGTGTAGAGAGAGAATCGCATGATTTTTGCCCAAAAATGGCGGAAGTTACCAGATTCTAGTAACTTTAATATTAGGGATTGTTCCACCTGTTTGAAGATATCTGTATATATTTTTATAAAGTCACTAGATATAGAAAGTACCGCAATCATCCGCCATTTTTGGCCAAATTTGCTGCCAACTTAAAAAAATTGACAAATAAAATATGAATAACTGTAATTTTTATAAACTAACTTCATAGTACTGTCATGTTTTATAGAAATATATCCCTTGATTATATACTACTATAATCAAAGATATATACAGATATCTCCAAACAGGTGGAACAATCCCTAACATTAAAGTTACTAGAATCTGGTAACTTCCGCCATTTTTGGGCAAAAATCATGCGTTCTCTCTCTAACACACCAGCCCAATGGGTTGCGGTACTTTCTATATTTACTTAGTGACTTTAATATTTTTATAAAACTTGACAGTACTATGAAGTTAGATTATAAAAAGTTACAGCTATTCAGATTTTATTTGTCAATTTTTTTAAGTTGGCAGCAAATTTGCCCAAAAATGGCGGATGATTGCGGTACTTTCTATATCTAGTGACTTTAGATCCAGATTGCAGTTACGCCCCCTAGCGGTCATTTCAGAAACTTAAAAATATTTTCCAGGTTTTGCTCATGGCCGTGTTACTAATAACTTTTTTACCGCCAGCCTCTATGATGGATAGATTCTCAGATACAGTACCTCGCATTCTTAGTTGGCCACCCTGTACAGTTTCAGAAAAATTATTAGGAAACGTAAGGAAAGGGGGAAACAGAGGAGAAACAGGTAAGAACAGGAAAAAAGTACAATGGAAACTGTACATAAAAAAAGAGAAAGATTTTTGGAAGGTGATAAGCAGGGGAAAAAACAAAAATAGAACCTTATTTAACTGTATTAAGGTACTATAAGGAAAGCAGGAGAAAGGGAGAGCTGGAAGAAGTACAATGAAGATGAAAAGTTAAACGGAAGAGCACCAAATTGTATATTAGAGGAAGGAACGAGAATGGAAAAGACAAGGATAGCGTCCGGGTGCAGGGCGGTAAAATTATAGGAAAAAGGCGATAGAAAAAGCGAATTGGTGAAAGAATGCTTGACAACGAGGATGAACGCAACGGGAATGTGGGAAAAACAAGGAGGAAAATATTACGACGAAGATGGATACGGATTGACTGGGGTTGACGAAAAAAATTGAAAACAGTAAAGATAGAGGGCGCACGTAGAAGTCATAAAGTAAAGTCACTAGATATAGAAAGTACCGCAATCATCCGCCATTTTTGGGCAAATTTGCTGCCAACTTAAAAAAATTGACAAATAAAATCTGAATAGCTGTCATTTTTTATAACCTAACTTCATAGTACTGTCATGTTTTATAAAAATATATACAGATATCTCCAAACAGGTGGAACAATCCCTAACATTAAAGTTACTAGAATCTGGTAACTTCCGCCATTTTTGGGCAAAAATCATGCGTTCTCTCTCTAACACACGAGCCCAATGGATTGCGGTACTTTCTATATTTAGTGACTTTATCATAAAGATCTTATAAGGAAGTGGTTACTGACCCACAATCGTGCCATATCAAAGGCGGAAGAAATTTGATACAACCAATTTCGTGAATGCAATGGAAATGATTTGAAGAATTTCGAAATCGCTGAACAAGAGCAAGTCAACAGCGTAATGGAGCTATTGGAGGGCAATGCCAATTGACGACCACAACTGTGAAGTAAGGAGAGGAAGATCATCAAAGAATTTGAAGAAG